GGCTCGGCTCCAGCTCTGAGACCTCGGTATGTTTGGCTTCTATAATTGAAACACTGTTGCAACTCCAGCTCAGGCCTGCTGGCTGAAAGCATGGGGTTTGTTTAGCTTCTATAATTGCAACAGTGTTTCTTAGAGAGCAGCTCAGAGCTGGGCGGCGGCAGGCGGGGAACCTTGGCTTCCTCCATCACTGGAGCAAGCAAGCCTACTGTTTGCTTCAGCTGCCTGGCTGCCGGCCGCCATCTTGGTTGGCAGTTAATTTGCATATTGCCTTGATTAACCAATGGGAAGCGTGTTGGAAGTACGGTTAATTACCATGTGTGTCTATTATTAGATAGGATGAGATGAGACTGGAACCTGAACTTCCATGGAATTCTTGTGGTACAAGTTGATTGTTTTATTCATTCATGCCTTTGTAATACAATTAATATAAAGAAAAAACCTGCCATTAGGTTTTCCAACTGTAAATCAGGCTCCACCTACTTCTCCTAAAGATAAATAGGTGCCTAGATTTGTTGTCTAGTAGTTTAATGTTTATTGGTAAATCCACTGGAAAATCATAGGGAAATGCTAAAGAATGTTCTACTGCTGCCAGCCATTTCAAACTTTTTTTTACAAAATATATTATGAATACTTGGGGACAATAAAAACCTAGTTTTGCCTTATAATTATTTCATAACTATTTTAATCCAGAGCCACAATTTAGCTAAATACAAAAAACTAATTGCTTGTCTTTTCTACTTGGTCTTAGAGAATACATTGAGAAGGAAGGAAAATAACTGACTGAAATATACTGTTACGTGTTCATTTTAGGGAAAAGATAAGATGTATTTTCCCCTAACCCAAATCAACAAGTCAAGGTAATTGAAGGAAATTCTGGAGAGAAGTAAAGATAGTTAGAGATTAACCTTTAATTACTTTTAATGCCAATTAGTCCTTTTCTAATTCATTGCCTCAAATAACTCAATGATATCCTTTTTCACTGGATTTCAGAAGAGGAACTTAACTGTATCATTAATTTAAAAGTCTTCCTTACTTTACATACTATTAATCTATTTCACTTTGTACAATAAGAGTATTCCTGAAGCGCTCATATAAAATTGAACTTTTGTACAAGTAGTAAGAAAGCTTTTAAAATTATAATCAAATGAAAATTAGAGTTAATAAAGATTCAAAGGACCCAGTGGTGATCCATTTGTCAAGTGCAGAATGACTTCCTGAGTGATTTCATATCACCCTCAACTTCATTATGCTCTACTTTGTATTCATTAATGGTTATGTCATTCATGTGTGGGTATCTTATTTTCCTGTTTGTAAATTCCTTTTTAGTTAGGACTGTGACACTTAAATGTGTAAATCAATGATATGTTCATTGAAAATTCCACAAAATGTAAGTATTTCCTTAAGTTAATAATTTAAGATATTTTTCTCTAGTCCATTACACATGTATACACAAAAGTGTGATGATTTCAAATTATTAAGAGGTGAAAAGGTTTTTTAGACTGGCTTAGAAAAGTTACAGAAGAGTTAGGAAACTACTGGGTTGTCATGGTATAAGGAGACATACTTGAATATTAGGGAAACACCTTTGCTTCCTATTTTACTCCACTATAACAAATTTGCTGTAATTGAAGTTTGCTCATGTTTGTAGATTAGGGTAAAAAGTGGAGAGAGCTGTATATTTTCATAACACTCTAATTCAAATAAGGTCAAGTAACAAAGAAGCTATGTCATAAAATCTTGCATTTATAGCATTCTTCTTTCAAATATTTAAAGAATTTTAAATATATTGTCTCATTTGGTTCTACTAACATCCAATATCATCTGCCATGATATTTCTGAGGGTAAACTGAACCTTGGGAAGATTCAGTTAATATCCAATTCTTGTCTATCAGTGCTGAACTTGATGTGTCCTAATGTCAAATGTAGATGCTCTTTTCTGATGACATCATAATGCCTTCTGCTAGAAATATCTTTTGAAATTATGTACTCTACCTTGGTGGTTCATCCCAAAAGATGGCATCGATTATCACTATATAGACAATCCTCAAAAACAATATATCTAGCCCTGATCTGCCCCCTGAGTGGCAGACACATATCTCCATTTTATGCAATTCGATGCATCCATAAAATGGAAGTGCATTTATATTTATTGATATACAAAGATGATCTTTAGTTATTGAATAAAACATGCAAGCTACAAAATAGTGAGAATAATATGAGCTTGTTTAGATTAAAACATATACTAGTATATATATTTAAATTATATCTCTACCCATTTACCTCTCTCTGTCATCTCTAACTACTGCGATAGTATATAAAATGTCTAGAGAAATATACATCCAACTGTTACCATTAGTAGGAGGAAAGGTGCAGTTATGTACCACTAGAATGAATGATTAGGAAAATAATTGACTTGACACATATATTTTAAAACAGATCACCACAGATCAAACCAGTACCTTTAAAATGCAATGAATCACAAACTAATCATGGCTGTGTTGTATAGGCATAAGGATAGATGTATATGAAAACCAATAGGATGGAACTATTTCTATATAGGTAAGGTAAACTGATTTTTGATAAGGGTGAATGACAATTCATGTAGACAGGATAGTCTTTCCAACAAATAATGCTGAGACAACATGATACCCACATGTAAATGAATGAATTTTGAGCCCTACTTTATATCAAAACTACTGCCCTGGTGCACATCGAAAGGAAATTAATTAAAAGGTGGCTAGCGGGGCGGGACTGGGTAAGATGGGCCGGACAGACCCTGGAGCCAACCTCCCATGGTCCCTCCCCGGCCGGCTGCACCTGGGGTGGCACCGTGGCTCAAAGGTCATCTGTGGAGTGAACAGGGTCCCTCTGGCAGGTGGGGTCCCTCGGCCTGGCCTGCGGGGATCAGGCTGAAACCGTCTCTCAACATCCCCCAAGGGGTCCCGGATTGCGAGAGGGTGGTTCTCAGGTGACCCATCCTGGAATTGGGCTGCCTCCTTGCTTCTGGGTGCATCACCCAAGAATTGCAGCTGCAAAGTCACCGCAGCTCGGCAGCTCTTGCATTGAGTGCCTGCCCCCTGGTGGTCATTGCGCATCATAGCTACCAGTCGGACAGTCAGTTTA